CTGCATTTCGATGGGTTCCCCTACTTCGGCCAGGTGGAGTCTGGTGAACACTGCCCCAGGACAAGTATTTCAGCTTCGCCTTCTAAGTTAATCGAGTTCTCTAAAGTGCCTGTTGTTGCACAGTAGAAAAGAAACGTATGTTACTCCTGCCCTGTGGGCATAATACACAACTTTTCATTAGATCACTACCCAAAATCCTGCATATTCAAGGCTAAACATCTTGCAAGTACCAGGTGCTAAAGTGAAATGGATTGAAGTCAAGTGGGACCCCTCAGACAAGGCTCACTTCATTTTTCCTATTTCACAATCAGCATATTCACTTCCAGGTAAGATGAAAAACAGATGATAGTAACATCATCAACAAGTAAACAGCTAAAATGTATCCTCTCTTCTTCTCAGGTCTACATAAAATTCTAGTAGCAAGTGGTGCCTAAGGAGAAGGTTCAATGTGAAACTGGAAACTACAGTTTCAGAAGACAGCAACACAGGTATATCCACAGGGTCAGCTGATGCTGACTACTCAATATTCTGCACTTCTGGTGCCAATTGACCTAACCCACCCTGAATAGCAGATGTTCTGGACTCTAAAACAATACCCTATCCTGCACATCCCAGATCAGGCTGAAGACACCATCCTGCAGCACATACGTAACATCCCTTCAGTCACTCCAGGGGTCACAACTCCATACACTGTCTGCCCCACAGTTCATATTGTTAAAACCATGCTCCAGTTTGCATTGTGGGAGATTCATGTTTTGGAGGACAAGATACACCACCAGTGTTTATGTCACCTGGCTCTTCAACAACTCCTGGTCTTTCTCTGGAGACAGGCTAATTCCCCAACACCACCATCACAAAGTTTCTAGTTGTTACATATTGCCATTGATTTGTTATTAAGTAGATGATTTTGGATCTTATGATGAAAAATAATCGTTATTACATAATCAAATAGAATTTTATAAGAATATTAGTTTTATAAAACTCAGAGAATAATTGTATATTGTTTTAAGTAACTATGGAACACTGTGTAACCATGTAACCAGCTGTGCTGCTATGAGCTCATCTGTAAAATCTGAGACCAAGACCGCATGGGCCACATAGTTCAATAATTATTAATCTTGAAATAATACGTTATTGTTTTGCATGTCAAAAGGTAGAAGCTTAGGTAAGATAATAGAAATTAGAGAAAATGAACTGTAACAACCTGCCTATGTCTGCCAAGTTATGAAGAAACTACGTAAAAGGTAATTCTGACAGGGGGAGATCTCAACCACCGACCCATGGACCACGGACTCTTATTACACCCCAGACTCATTTCAGGACTGCAGTGCACATAAGCAGAAAGAGGCGTGGATATTAAAATGATTTCCAGGAATTAGCATGTTTATGTATGAGCACCTGATTAATATGTACTATTGTAGTCTATATACTCAGCACGTTATATGAATTAGGGGTGTGTTGTTGGTGAGACGATTCCCCTGCGCACCCAGCTGTTAATAAAGGAGTGTCTGCTGATCTACATCACATGGGTGTCGTTAAGTTCTTTTATCCCACTTTTCGGTGACATAGTCAGGCAGCCATACCTGGAGAAAAGAGGGACACATGAAGATTTCATCTAGGTCCTGACCAGCAATCAAAACAGAAACATTTATTTTCATCCTGACTACTTCTTTGAGAAGTCCCAGGGTAGAGGTTGCCATCCTCATGCAGTGACGGTGCTGCAAGGCATAAGGAGCTGGGTGAACCATAACACCAGAGCAATCAATGCATACATTATTTACTCCAGTTTCTCTACATCCAGCCTGTAACTGTCTCTGCTTGCACTTCTGGCTTCCAGATATATGCCAGCCACAATTCTTCAGCTCAGGACTCAAAACAGTTCCCCATGAGCGACATGCTTATTAAATGAGCTATTGACAGAGGTCCTTTCTACCTTAACTCAGACAGCACTGGTTTACTGGTTTCTTCCTTCCCCTCTCTCCACTCTCCATGCAGTTTAAAAAAAAAAAAAAAAAAAAGCAGACAAAACAAAAAAACACAAAACCCAAGATGATGATTTATTTCCCTGAACATTCCTCAGCTTAGTATCCCTTCATCTGCAAGCCATAAAAGCCTGGGGCAGTGCAATGCCCAACATCAGGCTTGTACAATGGGAACACCCCATGCGTTTCTGATGGAGCAGACAGCTCTGAACTCAGGCTTGTACTCCTACAGCAGCCAGACACCGGTACCACTGACCAGGATTACTGCCAGCACCCCTTCCAAGGTTCCTATGGCTGGAGAATGGGTGTCAGGCTGAGCAAAGCTGGGCCAGGCACCACCTCCTCCTCCTCACAAGAAGCACCTTGGTTTTTGACAGCCTAGAGAAACACACAACTCAGACTCTCAGACCTGCAACATAAGTCAAGATAAATAAAAACCCAGCCCTCCCCCCCAAAATATAACCCAGTGAATATGTATGTCTTTATACCAGGGATATTCCTTGGTGGACTGTCCCAGAACAACTCCTTGGAAAAGATGGATCACCATCTCCAGTTAATGTCTCAAAGATTTGGTAGAAAACTGCAGCCATCCCTAGTGACCTGAGCTCCTCCACAACACCTTTTTGTGTGACTGCAACCACAGGAGGAATAACATAAGCTGTAAGTTCGTTTCAGTGTTACCATAGTTCTTAAAATAAATGCTATTGAATCAAATGCCACTGCTTAATAGGTAATATGCCTCATATAAAAGTAAGTTCTGGAGTGCATCACTTCAAAGCAGTTTGGTTTTTCATTTTTTTAAACAAACTGGAATCAAGGACAAGTAAGAGCCTTAACCTAGAATTGACTGACTTAAGCTAGGAGTGACTGACAGTCAATTAATATCACAACTGCTAAGTGGCCTCTACAAAACGGGTCTCTGTCCAGGCCCTACAGAAACAGGTGGCCGCACTACAGAAGCCAGCAGCACGGCTGTACGAATTGCTGAGGGACGATCAGTCAGGCTCAACCACATCAACCACCACAGCCAAGTGATCCTCTAAACAGTATTTTATTCTCAATGAGCCCCATACAGCACACAAAGTACTCTACACAAGGCTTTTGTTTCAAGTCCAACACCCACTTCTGATGCAAGTTTTCCATTTACAAATAATTAAAAAACCCCCACATTTCTCAGCATAAAAATGTAACACAGATCTTCCATTGTCTCCAACACATTTAGTCCTCAAAATCTTATTCTGCATTGTTAAAATGGCAGATTTGCTTAGGTTCCAGGCAAGACTGTTCTGAGAAATGACCCATTAAGACATACAAAATCCCACAACTTTTCTACCCTCCACCTTCTAAGGATAACACCCAGGAAACAAGAACTTGTATGCAGTCTTGCAGTCAACTTTTGAATCAGCACGACAGCATCCTAACCTTGGCTTCTGAGTCTGCACTTCTCAGCGGCAATCCAGGCCAGCCAACACTGGTCAGTCACACTGCTCTCCCACGTCTCAGCAGGGTGCAGCAGGGGACAGGCAGCAGGCAGAGACCCCCATAGCTCAAGGCAGAGGCTTCCAGCTCATATACCCACTGCCTCTCAAAAGAAGTCCTTTGGCACAGAGGGTTTGGTTTACAAGCGTGATGCCTAAACTCCAACTCCTTCCCAACATCTCTAAAAAAAACAAACCAGGTAAAACTAAATGAATTTCTTTCAACCCCACTGCCTTCGCCCTGCCAACTCCCTCTTCCCATTCAGGGAAAACGTAGTGGTCAAAATGTTCCATAAAACACAAGTGCCACACAACCCACTTGAATCTGGCCTCCATCTACATCTTGAATAAAAAAAATAAAAAGACATCACACACAAACAATTTTCACATGTTTAATGTAATGGCACCCTAATTAAGTTTACAGTACTTTAATCTCCACTAAATACTGTGTTTCAAAAGTATAATGGGGAAAAAACAAACATAAAAACCACTCTTTTCGGGTAAAGTTTTAGAAAACTCAACCATTTGGAGTTACATATGCATAAATGCCTTTCAAAAAATTGTTAAGAATTGTACTTTTCACCTTTATACAACAAAAAAAATAGGTTTTGCTAGGTCTTCTCACAAGATATGGAGATCAGAGATGGCACTTAAACTTCTGAAGTCAGGGGTGTCGTAAGGTTATATCGGGACTTCCACTGGAGAGCCTGCCATAAAGTAAATGCTATAAATAGAAAAAGAATGTGCAAGAGCTCTGAAGGAGTGAGCAGCACATGTTTTGCAAGCCTGTGCTCTGACAGCCATGGAACTGAAGACTGCTAACTGAGGAAAAAGCCTGACTGAATTTCTTCAGCTAAAGTCTATTCAAAGCATACCCATCATAGAAAGTCATATGGGTAGCAATACACTGCAGGACTAGTGACAAGCTCTCCTCTGGCTTTTACCTTGGATCAACAACCAAAACAAGCAGAATGGTCACTTGGAGAAGCCACAGGAATAATAATAGGAAGTATCTGTTGCTCTTCCTATGACAAATAATTAAGAGAACTAATATGGAAGCAGAAACAGACTAGATAGAAGTCTTGTTAAGGTACTATCAGCTAGAAAACTAGCAAGGCTACCATTTTATTCAGTTTCATACTTTGACTTTGAAGAGTTAAGGAAAATAAGTACACTTTGTATGAATAATCCTTAAAGAGAGGAAGCTAAACTGGAAGCAGCCAATGACCCTTCATTTTCACCTAAAAGCTTAGCCTGAAAGATTATGAACTCATAAAGTCATTTAGAATAGACTTAAATTTTTGGGGTAGCTGTGTTTCCTACAACTTACAGTGCTCATTTTTGCTTTTATTCCTTTAATCCAGGATTAGGGAATGGACCCAAATTCATAACTGGAAAAAACTACCCTTGGATAAGTCAGTGGCTTGGTTCTAATAAGAACTTTAAATATTCCTTCTCCTGTGCTTAAGAATGACTCATTCTGCTGGTTCTAAATTGTTTGGGGTTTTTTTTTTTGGTTTTTTTGGGTTTGTTTTTTTTTAATAAGAAAATATCAATTAGACTAAGAAAGGCAGTAACATTTTACCCTTGCATCCTGCTTCTAGAGCTGCCTTCCACCTCTAAGTTCCAGCAATCATCCCTAAAGGACACGCACTAATACTCTCTTATATTTAATACTAAAGGCCACATCCTTCCGAAGTCTTATCATTGTAAACAATTCTCCTCAAATGCATACAGAAATGTCCTCTAAAAATCTTAACTATTTGTGAGAGAAAGTAATTCAGAACTTTAAGTTAGTAATTTGTTCACTTGGATGCCCATATGGTATGAATCAGACAGATATATTTGATTCATGCACAGGACTGATGGAGTATGTTAAAGAGAAAAAAATGCAGAAATCTAAATGAATTGCAACTTCTGGTTGAATCATATATTAATTCACAGAAGAAACTAAAAATCTCTACTTACAAAGAAAAAGGGTGGAAATAACTGACACTCACTCCAGCACTTTTCCTGCTATAAGAATATTGCACATTCCGATAATGTTGCACAAATTACTGGCTTTTTATAAAGACCATATATGAGGTATTAGTCTATTAATAAATAAAGTACATGGAAAAGGAAAAGCACTTAATATAACGCAACAATCCATTCTAAGTATTTAGTGAATGAAACCTGAACAAGCAATAATACATACCCTTGAGGGGAAGTTTACTTAGCAAACAGGCAGCTTGCAATATCCATCCAAGAAGTCAAGGGTTAACTCTCTATTGATAAAGATTTTTAAGAATGCAAAGCCTATTTAGAACAGTGCTGCTTAAAAGGCTCATTTTGCTCATGCAATCAATCTGAAAGGTAAATTCTTATCTCAATTCCAAAGGGAGAGCAACATGTGGGTGACTAATCTTATTAAGGGGAACCAATTTCATATACTAAGCTAGTTAGGAAATAAAACAGAACTTCTGGATTGACATCAGTTAAAATATACAGAGGTTTTGTTGTGGGTTTTTTTTTTTTCCCTTTTAGTTTTAAACAGTTTAGACTGGTTATGTATTTCCATGGTGCTGACATTGATACCCATTAGTACTGTCTGTATTAGCTGTATTAGAATCCAGCACCTCAAGGCACTAGATGAATACTATAATTTTAATTTTCAGTTTTATTCTGTATTTATGCTAAGAATTTACCTTTCAAATCACAACGCTGAAAAATTCTTGCTGATGGGTAACAAATCTGTCAAGCTAAACACAATCTATCTTTTTTTTTTTATTTAGACCCTTCCAGAAACACTAGGAATCTATAGGCAAGCTTATCTTGTTTAAGTTCACAACAGAGGAGTATTTAAGTTCAATAAACTGAGCTATGGTAACTACATTGCACACATGATAATATAATAAGCATAAAACAAGAGTGTTTTCGATATGCTCATCCAAACATTGTTAACGAGATATTTATATTTTGGAAGAAAAAAAAAAGACCCGATGTGCACACAAATTTATATACATGAATATTCCTTAAATAAGTCAAGGGTTATTCAAATACTAGAATCTTTTCAGGCCAATGAAAGGCTGCTTGGAAATAAAAGTAATTCCTATATCACTCTGTCAGGTGAAGCACAACATATTCCCTCTTGTTATTTTCCAACTTTAAAAAGTGTTTTACTACTAATACATTTGCAATGCTGGACAGAGTAACAAAGACCCAGGTAAGTCATATTTCTACTTCTATTTTGGGTAAATTATCTAATTTACACACAAAGTCCATACCAGGTAAAAACTGCAAGTGAAAACTCAGAAAGATGTGATAAAAAAGCAGCACTTCAAAATTAAAGTATTTACTCTGCTGCAGTCCATGCACCAGTAACTCAAACAGTCCTGAATTGGCATATATGAAAAAATTAATTATATTTATGAAATTAAAAATATATATATTGTGTTGAAGTTCAAATTTATGGAAAGTGTTAACTAAACTGAAATACATACGATTTCTTCTGTCACACAAGATTATTTTTCTCCCATTCTAAGCAGTTAATGAGACATCTACTTCCCAAATGCACGTTGTTTCTATACTGAAGGTTAGTTTTATCTACAATTTCTTTATGGCAGTTAAGTGTTTTTTAGAACAAACAGTTCCAATAATTTTTTCCATGTTAGAACAAAACCAAGAAAGATTATGAAGGTGTTGAAAGAAGAAAAGAGATGAAAAGAAAGGAGATGTTACTGTCCAGAACAGTCTGTATAGGTGGTAACCATGTTTCCTCGTCTCTGTGTGACAGTCCTACAGTGCTTGCTGGATCCATGAAACCTGGTATCAGTTCGCACTGCGTGTCGGTGTGCATTTTCGAAGTCACTAAACGAAAACATTTTTTCCATATTTTCAAACACATCATCAAACAGTCCACCTCCAAAGGAGAACTCTTGGAAAGAACGTCTTTGCCGATTGTGAGCTTCCCGATGACTTCGGAAGTGATTTTCAAAGTGTTTTTTGGACCGTGAGTTTTGACTAAAGAGGTCAAAGTCTTTGAACAGATCATCAAAGTTGAAATTAAATGACTGATGGAACGGGCTTCCATTATTTCCTTGTCCTCCATGACGGCCAAACTGATCATATTCTCTTCGTTTATTCTCATCTGATAACGTTTCATATGCTATTTCCATTAACAAAAAAAAAAAGTTTAAAAAGTTTATTTATAGTCCCATCTAAAAAAGGGGAAAAAAACCAAAACAAAACAAAACATACACAAAGAACAGCTTCTCCCACTCCCTCAACAGGACAAATTTCAAGCAAGACTTTCATTCAACACACAAGCCCAATCAAGCTCAACATTTCTCCAATTCAAAATAAAGTTATTTATAATAATAAATATAGCCATACTATGAGGACAGATTATATCCTCAAAACATTAAAATCATATAATACAACACAGTTTAACTAGCAATAAAGATTAGTGCTTACATTTGAAAGAAAACAGCAATGACACGTGATCAGAAAGACCGAAGGGGGATGAGTTTTACCTAACAAAATGAACTGCTTGTGCATTCCTAACCCAGAAACACAGTGCAATGTCTGCAAAACAACTTATCAGTCAGCCAGCAAGTTCTAGCCACACCACAGTTACAACTAAGCAACAAGATAAACATCAAGAAGATAAAGGGAATGTAATTCCGTGTCCAAATTATTGATTTTTCAAAAGTTTATTGTTTAACTCAGATTTTTTGATTGGTTATAACTGAAATGGAATTAGGTTTCCATCCAATCTTTGGTCCACAACTACAGCTACTGGTGTTCCAAGGCAGAAACTCTGACAGATAATATTAAATATTTTAAATGCTTCCATTTTCTTATCTGTCAAAGGCTTGCAACTATTCTATATACTTCAACATTTACTTAAGAGAGAGTCCTCCTTCAATAAGTGCTAACAACTGCAGGAAGTATCTAACAGGACTGTCCCTCCCTTTCACTGTATTAATGACTACCTTCCTTTCAAAAGAACTTTTCTGCAGACAAGAAGGTAAAACCCAGAAATCTCTAATTAGCTAAGTCAGGAGAACTACAAAAATAAATGGATGTTATAACAGAGTCTACAGGGAGCAGAAGTGGGAAAGCCACCTTTTTCAGAAACCCTTTTTCTATTGTTGATTATTTGCTTCCAGCATTATAACTTATCCCTAAACATTTATGATTGGTGTATTCATTCCTAGGACCACAGGATAATTCAGGTTGGAAGTGACCTCAGGAGGTCTCTACTATAACCTCCTGTTCAAAGTAGGGTCAGTTATGAGATCAGACTAGGTTACTCAGGGCTTTAATCCACTCATTCAAAAAAAAAATCTCCACGGTTGGAGACTGCACAACTTCTCTAAGTGTTCCAACACCAGCCTATCCTCAAGATGAAAAAGTTTTTCCTTATAACCACTCTGAATCTCTTGCACTTGTTGTCTCCTGTACTCCTCACCTTGAACCACTGAAGCACTTGCTGTGTTTTTTTGATAATCTCCCCATCATTACCAGAAGGTTGCTGTTAGATCCCCCTGAAGTAATCCTGAGCTGGATCTTACTAGACAGATCAAAAGATAAGAATTAACCCCCTATGGCTAAAGTTGTCCTACTGCCAAGTATTTTTTGTGACAAGAGGCATAAGCCAAAAAGCTTAATAAGCAGGAATGCATAAACTGTGTAAAAAGCCTACCTATATGCAAGGACACAAAAACAAGTCAGATATCAATATTAGACAATGGACACCACCGAAACAGAATTAAGAAAAAAAACCTTTTCACCTCTTATTCATTGAAAAACAGAGTATAGCTAAGTCATCACATTTTCTCACAGATATAAGCCATGTATCAAATCATTAAGACTAAGGTTAGCATATATTACCTTCAGCAATTTCTCTAAATTTTGCTTCTGCACCAGGACTCTTATTTTTGTCTGGGTGGTATTTCATAGCCAGCTTGTGAAATGCCTTCTTGATCTGGCGGTCAGATGCATTTTTTGGAACTCCTAAAATATCATAATAGCTCTCTGTAGCCAGTATTAATTCGGTTATCATTAAAATGCAGAGAGCAAATGTGAAGACAGATTGCGTAGTTGACATTTCTCTGCTTCCTAGAAAGAAAAAGAAATATACTTAAAGAACAAGTTATTTCAGGTTCCACAACAACTTAAAGGTACAACTACAATCTGGAAGAGGAGAACCTGTATATTTTAGGAGTCACTCAGTGCCATACATGTAAGCTCGTTCTTTCACATGTGTCAAACTCCATCCCCCTAGTTTCATAGTCACAGAGTATATAAATGAAAATACTGCAAATTCACATTTCACATGCATCACAAGCATGCTTCAATGTTCATCTTTGTTTTACACCTATCTTTGTGCATTCTCCCACAGAGCTGTTGAAGTAAATATACATTTCACTGTATCAAACAGTTCATGCTGGCACACCTGAACTAGCTTTGAACTAACCTCAAGTTCTAGGACCACAAACACAGCACCTCTAAATTAAACGCAGGTTGCAAAAACCCACTCAAAACATGAAGACCAATTCACTGATTACCTTGTGCAACAGTAAGAGCCTGAAAATACCAGTGGCCCAGGGATCGACTGTGAGGTGCAGGAAGACAAGACTGTTAGAGACTCATGCTCAGCTTCAGACAGTCATTTAACTGATCTAAGGTGAACATCATAAAGAGTAAAACACCCATTTAAAGTACAGAGTTCAGTCAAGTAGGGCACATTTTCCTTTACAATGAGCTGGGCTTAGCTTGCTTTCATATTAGCTGTACTCTAAATAAAAACACTTATCATATATCTTTGATATCCAAGAATTAATCTAATAAATACCACTACATAAAAATATTTATATATGAAACTCTCAATGTCTGAACTCAATTCCAAAAAGGAAGTCTTGTATACTAGACAAGCAGCTTCAATAATAATTAAAAGTTTTAACTTTTTTCAGTAACATATTTGTCAAAAAGTTACATTTTGAAACAAACTGATGCTAGAACTCAAGGAAAAAGCTGTGTCATAATTCAGTCATAAGAAAAATCAGGTCCACATAGCAACATAGTCTTTCATGACTTTTATGAAGGACAGAGGGAGCTCTTCCTACCAGAAGAAGAGATCAAGTGATTTTCCAAGGCCTGTGCATATTATATTTAAAACAGAGTATAAAAATGTGAGTGTTCCAAGACAGAATTGCTGTCTGGTCACCTAACCAGCACGATGTATTAGAAGGCCCTGAACATGCCAGAAGCAAAACATTCCCCTCACCACATTACACTGATTTGAGTGTACCATAAATACAACTCAGAGATGAATAGTATTACTTTCTTGAAAGTTGAATAAACTAAGCCTGAAGTCCAAGTACCATGGAAGTTAGAATACTTTTAGACAGTACGTAGCCCAAATATTTGTTACACAGAGTTCAAAACCTTTGATTATCAGGGACATAAGACAACTAAGCCTTTAATAAGAAGCTCATATCCTCTAAAGAAAATTAATACCCAAGCACCAAAAAATTGAAGAAAATACCATTTCTAAGAGGTAAGTCAGGGGGCTAAAATAAGTGTTGTGAGGCAAGAGCAAAACGCTCGTAAGATTAATGTACCCATGCCCTCTTAAACATTTCTTTGGCTAGCAGCCTGCGTGATATCAAGTGTTAAGGAGCAGCAGTTGAAACAAATAGAATTTTGATCGGTGTACTTAAATACCAAACAGACAGTTCTTTTCAGTATTCTTCATGCATACCTGACATATTTTAGTACAAGCCTTTCCAAAGCTTTTCCACATATTTAGTCTTACCAGTTCACTAACCTGAAACTTTGCCACTTGGGCACTAAGAACTACACACACCTCCACACTTTTTGGGCTTTCTTCCTGTTTGTGCTTCACAGATGCAGATTTACAACTTCATCTCATATGTGAGCTTGTTTTTATTTTACTTCATTTCCTCACACCTTCATTGTGCTTATATAATCACCTGCTGCATTCTCTTAAGGCTAACCTCCCTGCTTCTACTATTATATACTGAGAAGAGCTAATAAGAGCAGTTTATGTCCTTCATTAAGGGTCAAACCCTCTTTTATAACTCTCAAGCTCATCTGAGCCTGAGAACCTCAAGCCACACTCCTCCTTTAAAGCTTTCTGCTCTACCTCACCTCAACTTCTATTATTTTAATAGTGACTTACATCTCAGTTTTCTTTTTTTTACAGTTTTATATTAGGATTTCTGTAATGCAGTTCTATGCCATACTGCCCCTAGTTTTATCTGGATTTCTAAACCATATTAAAAAAAAAAATCAGTACTGAAGTTTCATTGTTTTTTAAATGTTTAAAACTAATGTAAAGTGCAGATTTAATACTGCCCTTGAATAACTCAGTAAAATTTAAATATAAGTATAAAATGAAATATAAATGAAAATCAAATACGAATGATCTTCCAATATAAGCAGCATTTTAAACTTATGAGGTTTACACAAAGACAAAGCAAGTTTTATATTTGGAGAGTATCATCAATTTTTGAATTTATTTTTAAAAAATACCTATTTCATATGCTGTCAGCACTTAGTGTTGCTACTGTTAAATAAGATGTTAAATGTCTGACCTCTGCCCAGCCATCCCTATTTTTACAATCGCTTTCAAAATAAAGTATCTTTTAAACTCTTATTCTGCTTATGTCTCTTCTCCCTCGGTTTCTCAATTGAAAAGGGACAGCTAAGTTCCACTTTCCAGGCAGTGTGCAGCAGTTCCTTAACACACATCCCAGAATTCATTAAGTTCTTTACACTTCTTGACATTAAGCTCATGTCACAAAACAGTCCCACCTAACAACCATGAAGAACTACATTTTCTTGGGGTATATGTAGCAATAAAGGTAGATATTTTACTAACACAGATTAACTAACTCTGATGGATAGGTAGCTACAGATCTCAACTACTATTAAACTTGGTATACAAAGTATACTGTCTTAATGTTTATCAAAAGTATTATAGATGTGATAACAGTTTTTTATCAGTTCATCAACATTTATCAATAGCTGTACAATGAAGTGATGTTTAAGGATGATGTACCTGGAATAAAATCTGTCACGTATAACAAATAAGGAGCTACTTCCATTTTGCAATGCAAATGTCCTGTTCTATCCCTCTTTGAAAGTAATTAGCAAAGATCTTAGGTAAATACATTTCACAAAGTCTCACATACTCAAAAAACCCACAGCATCACTACTGTTCTGATTACATGAACTGCGATGCACTATCTAGTGAAATTCTAATGTTGTATAATTATTTTTGCAATCAACTTACTAGCAGTAATAAAGTTACCAAAGTTTTCCATCGGTTCTCATATCACGACTAACCCGATGAGTAAGCAAGTCTCCTAGTCCACTACCAGCTACAGTAAAGTCTGTCAGACTCCGGGGCTTGTACATCTTTTGGCCTCTCCTATACTGACCGTAAAGTAAATCTAGGAGAATGCTCCTGAATACTGCTCTGGAGAAGAGGGAAACGAGACGGAGCGTCCCCTGGCATCACCCTCCCTTGCCAGACCCTTAAGGAACCTCGCCAGAGCCGTACCACAACGCGAGGCCGAGCCAGACCTCGGCAGACGACATCAGCGACACTAAGTGACGCTGTCCCCCCTCCACGCCGGACAGGCTTGGGAAAGACCACAGCAGATGGGCCTAACGAGAAACAATAGTCCAGAGAGACCCAAAAGGCAAAAAAATCCATCAGGCCGAGTCCCAGTACCCGCCCCCCCTTTCCACAGTGCCCAGCCCTACTCCCCCAGCCGGCCCCGCGCCCCTCCACG